CCTATGGAAGCAATATAATTTGGGCAATTATATTGCATAGTAGGCATACTGGATGCTTTCGAAGGATATCATGAGTTGATATAAGTACGGATGACAATGATAGTCATGTCACTAGGGCATTAGTATGGATTAGCGGTTGGTGGATAGTTTTTCGAACGTGATTGAATAGCGACAAATTACTTGAAAAAACATGTAGTCAATGATTTATCATTTGGTTATATCAGTGCATGATGTAGTCCTTTGACCTGAGACATTGTGGTCGGATCTGATACGGATGCATATGGTTCATAGGGTGTATAAGTACGAGACTAGTCAAGTTTCGTATGATAAAGCCTATTTGGTCATGCGTTGTTCATATGCGGAAATGAACGAGGGTCAAAAAGGGATCCATTGACTCAGAAATATAGGATCAGGAGTACTACTAACTCCATCCGGATTCGAGTTCCTGGTCGAACGTCGATAAATGTCGAAAATCGGAATCTCTAGCCAGAGTCTAATATTAGTCATACGAAAGCAAGTTCGTGATGACGAGTTCCGAACATATTGATCGATGATTCGGTAGAAGATCGAGTTTAGGATTTTGACGTTCCATGAATCTGTGCTCGATCAGGATATATCAATGGAGGGACTTTACCTGCATGGTACATATGATCTGAAACGGGTTCGATGAAGTATTTCTTCATCGTGGTTTAGGGACTATGGCACATTGCTAGATGTTTACCATAGTCGTTGGGCCTCAGAAAATGTTTTTGGATGCATCTAGAACCGGCTCACGGCTAATCCACGGTGGACCTATATGGTCACACTAATAGCCTTGAGAAGTTAGAGAAGGATAAGAGAGAGAAATGCTTATCCGAAGAGGGCTAGCACCTTCCAATGGTAATAACAGGATTTCTATGGTAATAGTTACATAGAAAATTGTTTGTGACATTTTAAGGGTTAAAATGGTCAAGCAATGATTAATTGTATTTAATTATTATATTTTAAAGTGTTAAGATAAATCAGATGAACAAAAATAACCTTTTAATTGTTAAAGGGCAAAAGGGTAAACTTATGGGTTGTTAATGTAAACTAGTTTAGTTTACATGGGCCTTGAATAATATTGATTATTCAAAGGGCAAAATAATAAATACTTGAGCTCCTTTTAACATAAGATTTTATTGGGGCATAGAAGTGAAAAATAACTAATTGCAAAATGGCCCCTTTATATATAAATGCAAATGGTTGCATTTTAGGTCATTCATTCACTTTGTTCCAAAAGGAAATCAATATCTCTCTCTTAGGGTTCGGCCACTCTCTTACTCTCTCAAGGTGGTGTTAAAGTGTGGAGGATTCATCTCTTTGAGTCTCTGCTTCATCAACCTTAAGCAAAGGAGAAGGTATAATGTTTCTCAAACTTTGTTTGAAATTTTTGAATCCTATTAATCCAATCTTTCATGTTTTCAATCTACATTTCTGCCACCTCTTCATGTTGTTTCTTTCAAATGGTATCAGTGCTTAAAAGCTCCATGCATGTCGGTTTTGAGCAAAACTCATGTTGTTCCATGTGTTCATATGTTCATCATACATGGTTGAGTTTGCATGTTAGTGCTTTGGTTCAAAAATGAGTTTTTCATCCCAACTCTCTGCATGCATGTCTCGGCCACACTTAGATCAAAGGTAAATATTCATTTTTCATGTCATTCTCATGTGTTTTGAATGATGGTAATGTTGATAATGAGCATGCCTTTGTATTGAATGAGTTGTTAGTTGGAATAAGCATGTTTGATGCATGTGTGTGATTCGGCCATCTCCTTACTTTGTGAAAACATGTTTTTCATCTTGCTCTAATATGTTTGGATGTGTTAGAATGTGATTTAAAGCATGTTTGGATGATGGTTATTGCTTGAGATGTATTGAGAACTACATGCATGGATATGTTATGTTTTTCCTCTTTGTCATGCTCGGCCATGACTAGTTTTGCCATAAGATTTTGTCATCTCATTCATGCATTGATGAATAAAGTTTTGGGAAATGTTGCATGATGATTTATTTAGAGAAATGTTCATGTATGTTCATTTCCAAGACTTTGATTAAATTGTTTATGCTTTGACACGCTAAATGTGTTATCCTTTAATTTGATTAAAGTATATTTTGTATGAAGAGTATGCAAATGTTGCAAGTGTTTAGTGGTGGAAAATGATGTTGGCATAAAGTTGTGGATTATTAATTCATGTGATGAATTGTGATATTATGTATACATGATAATGGTAATTTTAAAGTATGATATTTAATTTGATTAAATTATCATATATTGCATCATTGCATGGCATAAATTATTATATTTTTGAAATGTAATAATTTGGTTTTTTAAATAGTTTCAAAAATTGATGATGTAAGATAATATGATTGTCTTTGAGAAGATCAATGTGTCATAAAAAATATTACTTTATTTAAAGTAACTTGTGTATTACTTTTGGAGTAATAAAACTCATTTATCTATGTCATACATGACTTTTGTAAAAAGTATTGAAATGATGTTAATAATTAAATAAGAAATTCATTATTATATCTTTGGGTGGAATATGACAAAAGTGTTTGTATAATAATTCCCTTGAAATGTGTAATTGTTGCATGCCCCAAAGTTATGATTAAATTACCACATGTATATATATATATATATATATATTTTAAATTGTTTATATTCATGCCTTTAAATAATTGTTTATTATATTTGGTATGAATGTTTAATATTTATTTATGTAATGGATGAATATTAGATTAGAGGGTTGATCATGGGCGCTATTTAGTTTTCAAAAAATATTCAAAAGTGTTTGTAATATTCTTTTATTAAATGTCTTGTAATAATTAAATTTTATTTATTTATTTTAATCGGGTCTGCGTGCCTAAGATCCAATTTGTAATTGAATCGGCTAGACGGGATCCTAAAGAGCATCCAGATCACTGATGCGACTAAATTAACCTTAGCAAGTGCACTAGTCGTGTTCAAGTAATAAAGTGATGAGTTTGAGTATCGTCCCATAGAGATCAAAGCGAATATTTGTAATTACCTAAAACTACCTACACGTTATTTGAGAAAATGAAATCTTAGAGTGTAAAAGTAACGGATTAAAAAAACTAAATTAAACAAATAAATAATGTGAAGAACTTTGCAATATTAATGAAGTTGGGGTATAAATTTCCCCCTAATTATGCTTGACAACTACTCTTAATACCCATTTGTGCTATGAATTGGTAGGATTCTTCTAAGGCCAATTATCCTTATTCAGGCATAATATTCAACTTAATACAATCCATATTCGGTTACTCTGAAATTAAGAAGCATAAATTCATCAATCACTTACAACTAATCTGCCCTATTCGGTTATGAATTAGATGGACCACAAATTAATCCTAGAATCTCTATTCGATTACTTCTAGTTTTAATATGTTGTGCAATGTTATTCCCATAAAACAATTATGAATATGAATTAAGCAATAAACCCTAACTTCTCTATTCGAAACATCATCAAGGTAATTGAATCAATCCAACATTCATAAAGCATTAAACCTAAACTCTTGCACAAATTCATAAACATAAATCTGGTATTAAGAATAAAAATTGTTCAAAACATAATTAGGGTTCCATCCTCCCCTAACAAAAGGGATTTACTCCATCCTAAGAACAAAGAAATAAATAGAGAAGAAGGAAAACATAATCAGACTTGAAAATAAATAAAAATCAAACTCTTAAATCTGATCTTCAGTCTTCAAGCCCCAAGAATGCGTCTTCTCCTCTAAAAAATATGCAAAATTCGTCCCTTGACAACTGATCTCAATTATACTTAAATACCCAAAAGAGTCCTAAGTGAAAAAGGAAAGAAAAACTGATAAAAACGCCCTAATAGTTTCTGCCACAACCTTGGCCGTGGCCAAATTTAAGTCACCACAGCCTAGGCCGTGGTGCTTCCTGGTCTCTTTGTTTTCTCTTTGTTCCACCACCATGGCCATGGTGAACTACCAAGGCATGGCCGTGGCCTTCAAGAATGTTAGGTAATCTCAACTTCTTCAAGCTTTAAGTGCCAATTTCATTCCAATACTCCAATCTACTCAATCAAAGCCTAAAAAAACACAAAAGTTATCCAAATCAATAGGTAACCATTCATATCTCAAACTTAACAAAAACAAACATCAAAACAAAGGAAACAAATGAGAAGTTAACTAAACTAACATCAAAACAACCTTAAAAACACTCAAATTATGCAACTTATCAATGATGATCCAATCGAAGATATAGTATTAGGGTAAATAGTTTACCTTTAGGATATATTTTCGAAAAGCCCCATGGTCAACCCACATGCTTTAATTTATGCATATATGTGATATGTATGGATAGTTAGTTGAACATGGCATGTTAAAATTAATTAACTAAGGTTAAACCTAAATCTCACCAAATTAAAATTATTAAATCCAAGTCTCCCATTGTGGGATAACTAAATTCTTTAATATAAATTTTAATATCCCAAGATTTCTATTATATGAGGGATATGATCTTTATATCATAGAGTTAAGTTGATCTTGTTCTTGGATGGATATTTTCACCTTGACCAAGATTTCTATTATGTGAGGACATGATGAAAATGTCATCCCAAGAAAGCACAATGGTTTGGATTTAACTGGCCTAGGGTACCAAGAATTCTATTATGTGAGGTATCCGAAAATAGGACAAAGAATATGAATCAAATCTTATATAGTGATATAAAAGGAAAATAGTTTCCTACTTATTAGACTTAATTAACCAAGAATTCTATTATTTGAGGTTAATTGAATTTTATAAGAAATTGATTCCCCACTAAGAAATTTAATCCAACGAAAATTTTCGGATCCTATTTAAGGGAGTGTAGGACTCGAATAAAATAGTGGGAGTTAATATGATTATGCAATAAAAGGTTTAAAAGATTACAAGACACTAATATAATTATTTTTCTTTGCAGTTTCATCTTTGTGATATATAATAAAAAATGGCCAACAATGTTCTCCTAAAGATACTGGATAATAACATGCTAACCGGACCCAACCTTAAGGATTGGCTAAGAAATCTCATAATCGTTCTAGATTTCGAAAGGATTGCTTATGTCTTGGAAGCACCTCTTCCAGTTGATATTGGACCGGATGCTTCACAAGCTGAGCGTGATGCTTTTGAAAAGTGGAGAGAGGATAGTAGGAGGGCTAGAAATTACATGCTAGCCTCAATGAATAGAGAACTTCAAACTAATCATGAAAAGGTTTCAAATGCTTATGATATCCTCAGAGCTCTACAAGAGTTGTATAGCGAAAATCCAAAAGTGGTTGAGTATGAGTTATGTGCATCCTTCTTTAGCATGAAGTTGAGGGAAGGGGTACCTCCAGATGATCATACTATTAAGATGATCAATGGATTAGGTCGACTGGATGGATATGGGGTGGTCATGTTAGACCGCCTTAAAGTGAATTTGATTCTTCAATCCATTCCTTCAAGTTATAAACTGTTTATAACTAACTACAATTTCAATAGGATTGAGCAAAACCTCTCTGAATTGTTAAATGAGCTTAAAGAATTTCATAGGAAGAATGTGAAAGGGAAATGACATGAGGATGTCTTTGCCGCCTCTGCCAGCAAGGCCAATAAAAGGGCCAAAAAGCAACAAAAGTAAGGTCCAAAAGTTGGACCTAAGAATAAGAGCTTCAAGAAGCCAGTGGCGAAGACAGAGAAGGCCAATGCAAAGGGAAAATATTTCCACTGTGGAGAAGATGGACACTGGAAGAGGAACTGTCTTCAATATCTGAACAGTTTGAGGAAAGGCAAAGGAAAAGCAGGTACGAACCAATGTCTTATGATTGAATAAGAATGAAGTGTTAATTTAGATAGTCATTCTTGGATATTAGATTCAGTAGCAACATCTCATGTTTGTATGTCTTTGCAGGTACTTTAGAATAGTTCTAAGGTGACAAAGGGCGAGATCATTTTGAGGATGGCAAATGGGGCACGAGTTCCAGCCGAGGCCATGGGGGCTTGCCCAATAAGACTACCTTCAATGCATGTTTTAAATTTATTTAAAGTATTGTACTTTGAAAAAGCCACTAGAAACATCATTTCTATTTCTACTTTGTGTAAAGCAGGTTACTATGTACTATTTAATGGAAATGAATGTTCAATACATTTTGGAAATGTTTTAGTTGGTAAAGCTGTGAATACAAATGGTTTGTATGTCTTTGAATTTAATGACTATGCTTCAATCAATACCATTTCTAATAAAAGAACTCGATCTGAATCAAATCCTAAAATTATATGGCACCATAGATTGGGTCATATAGGAGAGAGAAGATTAGTACAGCTTAGAGAAAGGGGGATCCTAAACTTATTGGGTTCTGAACCCTATCCAACTTGTGAATCATGTCTCCAAGGAAAGATGACCAAGTCTCCCTTTAAGAGTAAAAGAGAGCAAGCTAAAGAACTATTAAGACTCATACATACAGATGTGTGTGGACCATTCAGTACTTTAGCTAGGGGAGGATTTGAATACTTTATTACCTTTACAGATGATATATCACGATATAAGTTTTTTTATTTAATGAAATACAAATCTAAATCCTTTGAAAAATTCAGAGAATTCAAGAATGAAGTAGAAAATCAAACTGGAAAGAGTATTAAAATACTATGATCAGATCATGGGGGTGAATACTTAAGTACAGAGTTTCAGGAGTTCTTAAAAGAAAATGGGATTATCTCACAATTGACTCCTCCCTATACACCCCAGCTAAATGGAGTGTCTGAAAGGAGAAATTGTACTCTATTGGATATGGTACAATCGATGGTAAGTTTTACAGACTTGCCAATGTCACTGTGTGGATACGCTTTCTAGACCACTGTGTACATCCTTAATAGGGTCCCGTCTAAAACTGTCCAGAAAACACCGTATGAGATATGGTATGGAAAACGTCCAAGTCTGAATTATATGAAAATTTGGGGCTGTCCAGCTTATGTTAAATTAGTTAAATCTGATAAGCTGGATGTTAAATCCGAGAAGGGTCGGTTCATTGGATATCCTAAAGATAGTTTAGGGTATTACTTTTACTTCCCAAGTGATCAAAGAGTTTGGATCAGTATAAATGCACGCTTCCTCATGAACTTCTTGGAGGAAGGCGGTGTTGGAAGAAATATTGAACTCAAGGAAGAGTTCGAAGAGCCAAGAATCGAGATTGCTAAAGCTGGAACGTCCACTCAGCGAAACTCAGTATTAGATACTATGGTTCCAGTGCAAAAGTCTTCTAGAATATCAAAACCTCTAGAAAGATATGGGTTCTTACATGAGCAAGATTTTGAATCTTACTTAGTGGGAGTAGATGATCATGGTGATGATCCTAGAAGCTACGAAGAAGCAATACTGGATAGAGATTTAGGAAAATGGCTAGAAGCGATGGATTTTGAGATAGAATCAATGCATGCCAATCAAGTATGGTCACTTGTGGATCCACCATAGGGAATAATTCCTATGGGTTGCAAATGGGTCTACAAGAGAAAAGTTGGCAAGGATGGGGAGATAGAGACCTTCAAAGCTCGATTGGTGGCGGAAGGTTATACTCAGAAACAATGATTGGATTATGAGGAAACCTTTTCACCTGTAGCTATGATTAAATTCTTCTGTATAACTCTAGCCATCGCAGCATACCATGATTATGAAATTTGGCAGATGGATGTCAAAACAGCTTTCCTCAATGGGTTTATTGAGGAAAACATCTATATGGAACAACCGATAGGTTTTGTATCCTCCACTGAAAAGCATAAGGTATGCAAATTGCATTCATCCATTTATGGATTGAAGCAAGATTAAAGAAGCTGGAACATTCGATTTGACGACATAATCAAATCATTTGATTTTGTCAAGAATCCGGATGAACCCTGTGTATAAAAATGGGTTAAAGATCATGCCATCACATTTCTCATACTATATGTAGATGACATACTTTTGATGGGAAATGACATAGGCATGATGACAGAGGTTAAAGTTTGGTTATCCAAAACCTTATCGATGAAAGACTTAGGAGAAGCGACCTATGTCCTTGGCATTCGTGTCTATAGAGATAGAACGAAAATGGTAATTGGATTATCCCAGAATTGTACATAGAGAAAATGCTAAAAAGATTTAGCTTAGAGAACTCTAAGAGAGGTCTCTTTCCGTTCACTCACGGTCTTCATCTTTCCAAGGAAATGGGTCCAAAGACCGATGAAGAGCGACAGCGGATGCGTAATGTGCCTTATGTGTCTACGGTAGGCAGCTTAATGTACGCAATGTGTAACGCTCGCTTGAGATATGCAACTCATATTTGCTCATTTTGCCCTTAAAGTTGTTTTTGTGCCCTTAGTTAAGTGTGTATGTGTTGAAATTGTTTGAATGCCCTAAAATTGGTGAAGTCTTGTTGAAATTTGTGAAAGGCAGACTTCGCCGCGACGAAGAAGACTCGTCGCCGTGGTGACGTAGGCCCTGGAATTTTTCGCCGAGGCGAAGAATTCCTCTTCGCCGCGACGAAGACTTGGTTGAAAATTTTTATGAGTTTCTAGAGAATTCTTCCTTTGGGGCACAATGACCATTCTACCCCTAATTAGCAGGAAAAGTGGGGTGTGAAATGCAAGGAGATTGCATGGAGAATAATTTAAATGGGGGTGCATTTGCAAAGAATTAAAGGGCAAAGTTGGCATTTTTAAGAAAGAGTAAGGGTAAAATGGGAAAGAGTGGAAAAATATGAGATATTAAGGGTTTAGCTTTAGAAACCCTTTCATTCTTTCTTTTCCACCGCCTCTTCTATCCTTCAATTCTCTCAAACTTTCATTCAATTTTCCAAGGATTTTTGGAGGCTTTTGACTAGAAGTTGATACAAGTTGATCCTAAGCACTAAAAGGTAAGAATCCTTCCTCTAGATGTGAATTTTTAGTAGTGTAAGAGTAGGATCCTTACTAAGTTTGTGTTTAAGGTATCAAGCCATCAAGCGTAGAGAGCTTAAGTGGATTCTACTTGAGTATAAGGTAAGTAAATCCACCTAAGTTGTAATTTGCATGATTGAATAATGTATAGAGATTTGTATATGATTAATGCTTGAATTTTTATGTTTGAAATGAGTTGATGGATTTATGAATGAGTTCAATGTTGATTTATGGAGAGATTTCCACCATGAGAAGGGTGGATTGTGTTGATAAAATTTGGTAGAAGTATGGATAGATTTAGAAGAATTTGAGAGGAATATTTGAAGTGTGTTTTCTTTGTAGGATGTGTGATGATTTGAAGGAGTTGAACTCCAATTTTGGATGGTTAAGAAAGAAGTAGAACTATAGTTAGAGTAGGGTTTTGTATGCACACATATTGTTTGATGAAATGCCTAAGAGAAGCATGAGTAGAAGTAGAAAACCTTACTTTATGCAACATAGCATATTTGCATTTCATGAGTGCATATAAGAAAGATTCTAGGCATGAGCCATCCATATGCATATGTTTATATGTGTAATCATCAAAGAAAGAAATATGAGTAATGAGAAAGAAACACTCTAAGAATAAAGATAAAGAAAAGAACTAATTCTCTTAGAATAAAGAGAAAGAAAGAATTAGCACTAGAGAATAAAAGGAATAAAAAGTGCTAAAGAAGAGAAAAGAGAATAGGTTGTGCGATGGGGAACCCATAAGTGTAGAATTACCCGCATGTAAACCACCGTGAGAGAGCGGTCTCCGCCATGAGAGACCAGAATGAGAATGAGAAAAAGAATTCGTATAGCCCGTGAGAATACATGAGGATGAGGGTTATACACGAGAGAGAGTACACTCACATGGCCAAGGGTTCCGAATCCATGCATCAACCAAGACCGATCGGCAAAGAATAAGAAAAGAATAGAAAGAAAAGAAAAGAGAGAAAATGCATTGCTTTGAATTAGTGCATATGTATCTCATCCATGCATGTTATCATGATATCCCTTATAGGAGATAAGAATAGAAAGAAAGAAAGAAAGAGCCGACAGAAAGAAAGAAAGAAGAGAAAGAAAGAAAAGAACAGTGAGAACTAGAAACAAAGAAAGAACAAGAGAGATTGCATAGGAGAAAGTGACAAGAGTAAGGAAAGAATTGAAGAGTGATACACGGGGATAGTGGAGTAAAGGATTTACTTACTGAGCATTTTTGTGCTCACCCTATTATTTTCTATGTTTTTGTAGGACATAGGTGAGGACGTGGTCGGATGGATGTCGGCAAACGGGGAGACTTGGCTACATTGTCCACTATTTTGAGAGTCTTTTTGTACAAATGATATTGTACTATGTAAAGAATGTATATATTAGTAAAGAAAATTTTTGGGCCCAACTATTTTGATATGTATACTTGTATGTTTATTAATATATTTTATGAATATGATAGTAGAAAGAAGTCATTACACAATGCTATGTATAAGACTTGATATAGCTTATGCTGTAAGTGTTACAAGCAGATATTAATCAAATATAGGGGAGAAACACTGGTCGGTTGTAAAATCGATCCTTAAGTACTTGAGAAGAATTGAGGATCTAGCTCTGAGTTATGGATGTTCAGAGTTAAACATTCAAGGATACTCA